ACATTAATAATAATAAGGAAAAAACAGTCATAAAATAACATTCTAAAATACACGATCACAATAACAATAACAGTGGGCAGGCCACATGTACAGGATAAAACAAATTTAAAAACTGTGATGAGATAAAATAGGAGCAAGACATTTATGGGGAACTCATAAAACACATGGATTTATGAGGTTGAACTTCCCACTTGGGAGGCGCGAGCTCCAGTTGCGTTGAGGGGAGCAGTAGTATCATGTTGTGCACCTACTCAACAAAGGCGCAGAGGAAGAGCCAGGTTTTAAGGTTCTTTTTAAATGTTTCTAGTGAAGGCGCTTTCCTGATCTCTCCAGGTAAAGAGTTCCAAAGTCGGGGAGCCAACAAGGAGAAGGCTCTCTCCCTTGTACCCACAAGACGGGCTTGTGACATTGGTAAAGGTGATAGGAGGACCTCCCCCGCAGATCGAAGGGCCCAAGTTGGTACATGGGGAGAGATTCGGTCACGAAGGTGGGCGGGTCCCAAACCGTTTAGGGCTTTATAGCTGATGACCTGTATCTTGAATTGGGACCAGAAAATAAATGGCAGCCAGTGGAGCTCCTTAAACATGGGAGTCGAGAGTAAAACATTCCCTCTGCAAAAAGAGCTGAAGAAATGCTGAGTTCCAATCCAATGGCCTGGCCATGTGAGGATTTGTGGAAAGGGAAAGGGAGTATGGGAGGGGAAGTCAGGCCTCAGGGGAAAAACCCCAGAATGCATTGAATTGTTGCCAACACTATGGACTGCCCTGAGTTCCCTTCCGCAAATAATAAACAAATTACTCATTTGGAGCTGCGACCCTTGGCCTGCCTTCCACCCCATGGGCTTCCCCTTACCAGTATCAACATGACCCTGCGAAAAGTGGGAAAGGGCTGCCCAGGGCACCATAAGTACAAAAAGGAACATGCAGGTCCATGCACCAATCTGTCCAACCTTTAGTTCCAGACTTACTGGGCAGTTGCGGAGGCTGGGCTTTCCCTGTGGTTGCTATCACTGATGGAACACCAGGAGGCTGAATGCAAGGGTCCTGCAAAGTTGGCTGCTCATTTCTTCTGATGCCGTGGTTAGGTGAAGGAGACCTCAAGGTTTCATCTAGCTTCTTATTCATCGCATTAAGTTTC